AAACGTAACATTCGACGTGATACAAATCGCATAATAAATTAGAACTCACTGAATGGCCGTGATAGTTTTAGACATATGAGTCTATTTTACATAAGTTACTAGCATTGCTTTCGTTAAGATTAAACAACGTTGCCGTTGTCAAATGTTCAAATTGAAATTCTGTACATTTCTGAAGCAGAAGCTCAGGCGGACGTCTGGCCGAAAGTGGATTAACGGCGACTTCCTTAAAAAGAATCTTAGAAGCGTATCTAATAAAGCAGTCTAATGTGAATGTTGATTATAGCGATTGTAATGATATATAATATATATATAATGCGAACACACTCTCCTACACGCGCGTAGAACGTACTACCGTTCCATGGATTGATAGCATACGCATTGATAGATTCTAATTAAAGACGTTTTATCAAGACAGAGAGAGAGAGAGAGAGAGAGAGAGAGAGAGAGAGAGAGAGAGAGAGAGAGAGAGAACGAGAGAAAAAGAGAGTCGAATACTTCCGTTAAATTCACATTTTAATTATCCGAAAAATGCGTGGGCGGTGGCGGCGGTAAAACAATTCCGGAAATTCGTTAATTAGTTGCTGACAAATAGACCGGGCGCGAGATATAATCCGCGGAGGAGGAATCTCCCCGGCGGATGTCGCGGTGTCGGAGATTAATCGCGACGCTATTTTGTAATAAAACGAATGTAAAATCGCGCGATTTGCGCGAAAGTAACGCGGGAGAATACGGGCTAGCGCGCTCGTTAACTCGCCGCGGCAGTAAGTAAATAATAATGTCGTGTAATTGCGTATAATTATAGAGCGCAAAAATAAATCGACATTTATTAATCACAGGACAAAATAACTCGCGTTATAAAATAAATCGCGTTGATATGCGCCGGTGGAGTGCATGGAACATTACACTAACGGCCGATAATAATTTCAATTATATTTCGCCGACGAAATGTAGGTCGACGGCGAAAAGGTGACTTCCGCAGCTCGAGCTGCGAGAAAGGCGCACCTCTAGCCGCTTCCGCAAGGCGAAAGTTGTTGATCCTTTGGTTCGAGGGGCGCGTAGTTTTGGAAAATATTACGGCGCAATGCCGGCGTGAACGATAAATTTTAGGTGAGTTTAGAAAAGAAAACAATATTTAGAATAGACTGGCTTACCTTCAGCAAAGAAAGCTGCTTTGCAATCGTAGTGAAATTTGTGAATCTGATTGATATGTGCTTTTGGATTCAGTCAACCCTCCGAGCGACAACGTACTTTTGTTGTTTTCGGAGCGTCAATCGGGGTCATTGAGGTAAAGATACTAATTCCCGAACAAGTACTTGGACATTCTTATTGTTTTGGTCTTTAAATACGAGTATTTAAACTTTCATAGAATATATTTACATATTCAATATTTGTACATGTATTTTATATTGAAAGTTTAAATATTTATATCTAAAAAAAAAGAAACAAAAAGAGTTTTACGTCTCCTTCAATTTTTCTCCCCTTGAGATACACGAAAATATCTCCAAAAATGATTGACACTTCCTTTTTAATCGAAGAACACAGTTTCTTGATGGAAAATAAATTGTCAAATATTTTAATGATTTTTAACTCCTTGATAACATTTTTAATTCCTTTCTTGATTTACCTAAATTATTATATTTTTTCAATTTGTAGCAAACGCAAATTAAACATATTTTATTTTTCAAAAATTTTGAGAGAGAATAACAATAAAGAGAAAAGAAAAATGTAGATATGCTCGTTGGAAAAGAGCACAGTTCGCGCCAGTTGTAAAGCAGTTTCCTCCGCTGGATGTCAATATTAGCCAATATTAGAGAGCGAGATGAGGGAGAGAGAGCTCACCTGGAAATCTTGCGGGGAAGGCGACGACTCCTTCGGCTGGTCAAGGCTAGGACTTCGCGGTGGGCTCGGCGCCCTTGTGCCCAGCTCGTAGATGTTGATCATGTGAGCCGCCTGCGCGTGGACCATCAGCTCCCAAGCGCTCAGGAAGGAGAGCTTGCAGAGGACGCAGAGCAACGACGTCGTCGAGTCTCCTGCTCGAATCGGAAAGCGATAAATAAGTTAAAGGCGTCGAGATATCGCGCGGCGAGCCGGACGATACGAGACAAAAATTCGCGAGGAGCATCTCTCCCTCGCGATCGTTCATCGCGCGCGGCAGATAAATTGCGGGTCGCGCGCTCCGAGGACTTCCCGACAAGTTTCCGAGCGCGTCGCGTGCGGTACATACTAAAGGTGCACCGTGAAAGCGCGTCGAATTGCTCTACTTTGAACGGGGAGAGAACGAATCTCCGCCGGCTGATTCTAATGTTTCCGTAATAGCCCGCATAGAAATTTCTCGGGATTCTCCCAGAAAAGCACAGACTCCGAATATCTGAACTTGTCCCAACGTAGATGACCTTTCTGTGACACCAATTGGGAATACCATTCTTATTCCGAGCATGGCTTATTTATTTATCGAAACAGAAATATTGTAGACACTCGCTTCTTCTTAACAGATACATTTTTGCTGAATAACAAGAGAATCCGCTTTTATATAATTGTTAAAAATTCAAGTGAAAAATATAAGAATTCGGCATAAAGAATGAAGAATAATGTCAGAAATACTTTAAATCTGATTAATAAATTAACTGTTTATCGATAAACGATAGTTCAGGATAAGGATCTTTGAATATTTAGATTTTTTAAATATTTACTATTAAATCTAGAGAAGTATTTCAAATCTCCACTAAATTATTAAACCGGGATTTTAATCGAAGTGTTATTTTTATTTTACATTTGCATTTAAATTTTTAACAATTGTGTAAAAGGGGATTCTCTTATTATTCGTCAAAAGTATATCGATTATACTTGTTAAGGAGAAGCGAGTGTCCACAATATACACAATGTGTTTTATACGTTTTGCTCAATTCTAATGTAAAGCTGAAACAAAAAAATCTTTGGAGAAATTAATTTGACATTTGCTTGAATGTCTCCGTTTAGAATCGTACATTTAAAATATTGCGCTTTAAACTTTCCCTCTCTCCCTGAATTTATTTCCCGGTCAGAATTCATAATTTTTTTAGGAAGTCAGTTTAGATCCCAGCTAAATCCCATGAAATGTTCTATGTTGGAACCACCGAGTCTCTTTTAGCAATCAGAAGAATTGGAATTAGATAATTGAATATTAACTTTTGTTCGATTTCGTCTCGTTTCGTCCAGCTCGTCGTCTGGATTGGAGTCGCTGTGTGTGAGGGCTGCTGAATACGTTGGAAAGGAAAGAGGGAGGAGGAGAGCTGGAGAAAAAACACACATAAAGATTTGACGAAGTGAGAACCGCCCTTCAATTTAGACAAAGCGCATCGTTTGCGATCACGATGCATCATAAATACTCAACATCGCGGCTGCGAGAGGTTGCCGAATCGCCCAAGTCGACGAATTAATCTGATCGGCGTGTAAAACCGACGCGGAGGCAAACTGAACAGATTAATCATACTAATTCTGGATCTTCCGGTGGGATTCGGAGCGCGTTTACGTACCGGAAGGAGACGCTTCGAAGTTTATTTCGAGTACATACTTGGGGCGGCTCCGTTGAAGGTGTGACATTTACATGTGAACCGCAACTTGCAATAGTTTCGCTTGTGCTCCAGCAGCTCCCCGAGTTCCGTGAACATCTCCCTGCAGTTGCCGCAGATCAGTATGTCCGGATTGCCTATAACATACCTCCAATTAAACCTAATCTTCATCGCCCGATGAGAAAGAGCGAGGGAAACGTGATTATGACGGCAAATTATGAACCTCGGCTATACGATTATCGTCTCGTGTAGTCAACTAATTGGTGGTCAACGGCAGGACGTAGGACGCGAAAGGTTCTCAGATCAGCGATCAAGTTCGGGGATAGAGAGGGATCGACGTGAGAACATGGTTGTACTCGAGTCGAAATTTTGATCCTATCACGATCTGCGCTTCTAAATGGCAGAAAACGCACCAAATGCTACTTGTATTTTCTGAAGGATACAAAGCTAGTAAATAGAATGGAGGAAGGTTAATATACAGGTTCCAGAACATCAAAGTTGGCGTTAAATTGAATATTCAATAGTCCAAAATTTTGGGGCCACTTGAACACAGGAAAAATGACATGGACATAAGATATGGACAACTAAACAGAATTTGTTGTGTTAGCCACTTTTTCTTTGCTGCAGGAACTAATTTCCTTGCAAAGATAACAAGAAAATCTGCTTCTGCAACAAAAAAAGTAGCTGAAGCAGTAAATTATGTTTAGTTGTCCATCTGTAGCAAATTTGCTGCGTTAGCTTTTCTTGCTGTACGAGTAGATTTTCTTGTTATCGTAGATTCCTGCAGCAAAAAAAAAAGGTAGCTAACACAACGAATTATGTTTAACTGTCTATATATAGCAAATTAGTTTGCTGCTGCAGCAAATCCTTTTTTTCCGTGTAAGTTTTCCACAGAGCCTCTTCGCAAAATTAGCAGATTGAATCTAATAATAATAATCAATATTGGTGATAGTTAGAAAAAGTACAATCAATACTATTTAAGAACAATCAAGATGGTCTGATACTGAAAGTTCTGAAAGTCTTCAGATATCAAAATTGGCGTTAAATAGAATATTAAGTAATCCGTGGTAGGATGAAAATTTCGGCTCGGATAACGCTGAATGCTGAAGCGCGTCACTTACTGTATACTTTAAGTTGGTTCAAGTCGGGCACTGTGCTGGTGTTCGCCGTCGGTTGCTGTTTCTGCAGCTTCGGATGCTGCGCTCGTGTCGGTGGCATCAGGCGCGGCCGCTTCAATGGTGGCGCCAAGCGTGGTGGAAATGCGGTCGACGCGTAGTAACTGCAAGTACAAAGGCATTTTGCAAAATACACGCGATACGTGTTTTGTCTGTGTATGTGTGCATGCGAGTTCGCGGACGTGTGTATGCACGTGTCACGTCAGATCGGTAAACACAGCGTCTCGGAACTATTGTGTATCGTTCGAATATGGTAGATCAAATTAACAGAGAGCGGCGAGGTTTCGATATACCGCGGCGCCGACAGACGTTTGACACGGAGGATTTAAAAGAGACGTCAGCCAATTAAATTTCGAGGGCGCGGCGCGTTCGCGCGTGTAGTGGAGGTATATTAACAAATGGCAATGCTGTTACGCTCTCTCGTTTCTGCCGTTTGAACGCGTCGATTCGCACGGCCGGCTCGTTCGTTCGCTCGCTCGCTCGCTCTTCCGCCAACAATCGCGTCATCGACGACCTTGCAAATGAGCAATTGTCGAATAAATTGTCGAATAAATCGCATTCGCAAACGAGTGCACTTCCTTAAGTGCATTTGGAGAAGCGGCGGAATAAATGCGTGGCATTAAATGTGCTAAGGCAGACTGGCGGGGTTCCGCTACGAGTGTATCTTTCAGGATGCTTTCCCTTTGTCGCGATATGTAAGTAAAAAAAGAAAAAGAAGAAGAAGAGAGAGAAGAAAGAAAGGGAAAAACAGAAGAGGAAAAGTAAAACCGAAACAAGGGAGATGGGCCCCCCGCGCGATGGGGCGTCGCTTTTATTTTGTATGAAGAAAAAATTTCCATTCCTCCGGCGAGAGACCTTCCCTGCTTTGTTTAGCGGAAAGAGCGTGTTTCCTAAAAGAAGTTATGCCCGTGCCCTCGCGGGAGATTTATAAGCCGAGCGTGTTTGTTGCGTATTCAATGGAAAAGAGCGCGGAACATGTTCACTCAATTCATCGTCGATAAATCTGAAGACACGTATCTCTTCCTCGTTACTCTCTCACGGTTACTCCCAATTATCGTCGTAATCGTCGTCGCGTCGAGCTTCGCGGGGAAATTCGCGAAAATTGGAAAGCGTCGGCTTTAAGGGAGCCGAGGCGATTGTTGCTTTAAGAGCCACGAAGTTGGAGGGGACCCCGCGCAGTAAAATAAATTAGCTTTGAATAATTCAGGATTGTATCCGGTAATGCGGTTCCTGCAAATTAAGATCGAATTACCCCGGGATTTTTCCTTCGAGAGGGCATCGCTTTGCTTCGCGCGGGCCGATATTAAATATACGTATCGTGTAACCTCGAGTTCATTTAATACTGCACCTAAAATAATTATACCCATGTAATTTGCGATACGCTCCAATCTGGTATTCAATTCAGTCGAATCAACGCCATCGCAATATCGAATGGACGTTTAATAATGCATTCGTTTGTTTGCATCTGTTTGTTTTACACGTAGGTGCAATTAAGCAATTATTTTAGTACCTCGCACAATTATATACAATGTAGGTGGAGGAAAGAGATAGAGATTAATTAAATAAGCAAAAGTCTACCCAATAAAGAGAGAGAGAAAGAGAGACATAAATGAAGACATAAATCACGTTAAGCGCGCAAGAATGTTACCTGTCGCCTACATGATGTGTATAACCGAAAAACTATCTCTACAACTTTTATTCTATTATTGGAATAATTGTCGTATATTGTACTGTTATCAGCCGGTGTTAAGGATATTTTGCTTGTATGGTCTCTGCAAAGTCTTCTACAAAGTCGCTGAAAATTAGAAATACACTAATATTCTTATAGTTGAATGACAACATATTTTTAATTCTACAGTTACATTTTTATAGTTTATTTACTTAATTCTATATTTCTATATTATTTCTGACTTTTAAATCTTCATCTCTGAACCACAGTGAAACTTTGCGTACATCATTTTGGATACTTACGAGAATTGAGATTTGAAATTTTTAATTATTTTTTGATTATCTTTTTCTTTACTGAAGATAGCATCATACATTTCCATAACAGCATGGTTTAAAATACTCCCGAACAGCAGGATTAAATGATAATATATCAAATGACGCATTATTAATTATAGAACGGTTTAATGTTTCAATTTATTAAAATACTATTTGACGTTATCATGTTTTCTGAACTGGCACTTCAAAGTGAAATAACTTTCGAGATCCAGACTCTGAATCAATGTGAATTTGTCTGTGGAGACTTTTTAGATGCAATATAGATTAATTTTTTAATTTCTTCAAAAGTTTCTCTAAAAATTTTCCAAATTTTTAGAATACGGACAATACATCCTCATAGTTATTATATACTTAATCAATTGTCTCAAGTGAGACACTCAGATCCGCAAATTTATATTAACAATCATTACTCGAGACTTGTTCCACGTGAGATATTCAGGTATGAATTTAGAATTGAGATCCTTGAATCACATAATATATATACGACGTTACATTTCCAATTGCGATTCAGCTGAAAGATTCATGTTTAGCTCTAAATTCAGACCTGAATGATTCACATAAGGCGAGTTTCAAATAGCGATTATTAATACGGGTCTTGAACACGAGCTTTTTGGCAGAGTCACGATCAAACATGACATAAACGTCGCGTGCGATTCAAAACTGGAAAATTTAATTCAAAGCCGAGTGGTTTGCCATGCAGATTTAAATTAAGATCTAAATTTCATCTTTTGTTCCACCTTCTTTTTAGAAACGGCGATACTGTCACGATTTGTGACAACGGATCGAATGGCAGTGGTTCTATCTGGAAAAACTTCAGTTCGCCTCTTTCGCAGTTGGCGCGCTGTATTTTTGAAGTCTCGAAAGCTCCCTCGCGCGCGATCCCGCAAAACGGACGAATGAATGGTGATAAATCAACTCGGTAATATTATTGGAGAACGTATTCGGGTCAGCCGCGGATATAAAAGTCCGGTTACATTAATATTATGATGTCGGACACTAATCCATTTTCTGCGAGGCTTCTAATTGCCGTGATAGACATAAGTGGGTTAGTGTTGAGCGCGTCGGAAGTGGATCTCCTGTATCGATAAGTCCCGCTCCAGCGAGCCCCTTGGCAAATAATGCAGCGTGACGTAATTCAATTATTCTTATTCCGCGGCGCGGTCTGATTAATTAACTCAACATCTCGCCCCCCTCGACGCGGGCTCTGCGAGCGACAACAAACGAAATACACCTTATCGCGATCGCGGCGTGCCTATCATCCCGTTATCATTTCGCCGCCGTTACATTTATTTATCGCTCTGTCGTCCATTTGTTGCAACGCTACCATTAGTTGCTGTCACTCATAAAAGGTTGCACGCGCGTAAAAAATGTCAGAATGAAGTGGAAAAGTGGAAGGCGAGTGGGCGTGGGAGGGAGGGGGAAGAGAGAGAGAGGAGGAAGGAGAAAGGGGTGGAATTGGAGGGTTACGAATGGCCTCGTTACGGTATAGAATTATGACGTCGGTTATGAGAGACGCAATAATTGCGGGAAAACGCCGACCTGGCCACCGACAGAAATATTATTTATGGCTCCGAGGGGGTGAGCGCAAATCGTGATACTTGCGATAGTAAAATATGGCCGGCTGGTTTTGTCCGGCGGAGCATACATTGTGACGTTGTCTTAATGGTTTTCGATGGAGAGAAAAAAGGGGAAAACATGATTTATTAGCGTTAAAGTAATTAAAAATGAGAAGAAGCAACGCGGCGCCAGGACGGCGAGATTTACGAGTGGCGGCAGGTGTCTGCAGAAGTGACGATGCGACCTAAAAAAAAAAGGAGAATCAAAAAAAAAAAAAAATTGATCGCGCGCAATAAAAAATAGAGACCTTTGCGTAGTGAGTTCAGCTTCGCAGCATTAAAATGAATTTATCGCCACATATCCAAATTCTGTAGATTGATGAAAATCAATTCTCAAGGCGATGCTGGAGTCGAAATCGACGGGATACGAACTTTTTTTCTGCAGAGTTTACGTTCTATTGACTGAATTGCAAATGCCCTTGCGCGATAAAAATACGTGCGAGAATAAACTAAGCCATTGCGCAATATATGACGAAAACGATAGAAAAGAATATAAAAATTGACATTTCGAGTGTAAATTAGTTTGTCACAGACGCTGTCAGTTGAAGTAAATATTCACGTGATACACAAGGCTTGTATATGGTGAACGCGAGTTTGCTTCGCTCAGAAAAAATTTCAAAGAACTTGTACTCTGCACTCAAATTTAGAAGCTTAAAAATATTGAAAAAGTTTGCAGGAGGATTTCCATATACGCGCATTAAATTCTTCGTTAAATATAACAAAACAAAGCAACACACATTCACAAAAGAATAAGATCTACATGTACAAGAGGAGGATAGTGAAGAGGATATTAGTGACAATCCTTTCTCCGTTAGCGACATTTTTGGAATCTGTTATTGTTGTTTTTTTCATCATTTTCTACCATGATTATAATAAACTTTGATGTTTGAAGTTCTTATTATCACAAACTTACTATTGTATTGTAATAAAAATTAGTCAAATATTATCTATTAATCAATAGCAAGTTATCAAATGTAAAACAAAAATGTCTAAAAATTATATCTTTTCTTAGAAAAGTGAAATCCGTAAATGAGTGCTTCATAACCTCATAATGTAATAATAATACAATATGATAAACTGCTGTGATTGATCCCGTCATTTTGAGGGACTTGCGAGCTGAACCAATGAAAAAAGATCCGAAGAATGGTCGGACTCTATCTTCTAGGGACATTATCTCAGCCGAGTTTTAAGGGGATGCCAAACTTGAAAACTTTCCCGACGAAGTACTGACTTTTTTCTGCAAAGTTTACGTCGTATTGGTTGCACAGAATTATAAGTGCTTTTACTCAGTGAGAGTACGTGCGATAATGAATTGGAGCGTTGCTCAATATATAAGGAAAACGATAAAAAAATTGTAAAATTGACATCTGAAGCTGTCAGTTAGTTAGGAAATGTTTACAAAAGTTCTGCAGGCTTGTGCTTGCTCCGCCAATGAAAATTTCAAAGAGTACTTCTGTATCTTCACAATTGAATTTAGAGAGAGG